AATTAAGGACATACGCAACATACATTACCTACTGATAATTTTTCAAGATATTCTTAATTTAAGATTATAGTGCCATCAGATGTTCGTAGACATTCATTCATTCATTCATACTTTATTTCCACTTTGCAGTGATTAATGAATACTCTACAAAATACACAAAAAGAATATCGTATATATAACATAACTACATCAACTGAAACTCGTACACATACAAAGGTGAATTGCATGTAAACATATAAATAGAAAAAAGAAATATTTACAAAGTTTGAGACCACAAAATAGTGGTCATTACTTTACTTCATACACTATGTCCTTGCGTGTTATCAAAAAAAAAAAAAAAAACCTATAGATGAACATTGGGAAAACAGAAAGATATAAAGGAGTGGGAAGCATCCCTCACTGACAGATTTGCAGTACGGAAAGATTGCGCTTATAGAGAGAACAAGCATCAGCAATGAGTTACGTAGCTGAAAGTTTCGGAAGTGGAAGGCGGATAGAATGGTGTTCGGCTTACGGCCTAGAAGAATCAAGTACAGTTCATCATCTGTAAGGGCACACAGTTCAGCACACAAGTTAATGTCAAAGTATAGTTAATTACATCCTCCCACCATTGATTGCGTATATCATATGTGATACGACAAGTACACGACGCATGGTTAAAGAGATCAACGTAAAGAGTTCCACAAAGGGGACAAATTTCTGTAGTTTCTCGAGGAGATTCGGAGACTAATTCGCAAATGAATTTGCACAACGAAATCTCATAACAGTCTTTGGGTAGTCGCCAGAATAAAGCCGGATTTCCATCCTGAAATATTTTCCGGAAACGGACGAATCCTGGATCACCTGAAACACGTGTGTCTCTCCGGAGCTTATTGTATCGAAAAGTCGCAGATCTCACAATTTGTTTCCAGGCTGACTTTGATGGAAATTAACCGAGCGAAAGCCACCCTCTCACATATTCGCAAAGGTTATAAATGCATAAAAGACTCAAAATATCAGGAATAAAACCTAGCTGCTTATGAGCGATCCTCTCCAAGTAAGAAAACAGCCTGGTTAAGAAGATTTTCTATGACAGAGTTTTGTATTCCAGGCAACACAGACGGCCAAAAAAATAGTAGCTTCCTTGTATCAATCTCGGCTTGTATTGGAAGAACTTCAAAAAGGTTTTCACAAATATCAGACCTTGTTCTGGTAGGTAGATTCTGGGCGTTTTTGACCACTAAATGTTGGAAGACATTCAAGCGATGTAAATCATTTGAGGACATGTCATTCCATAATTTACATCCGTAGAGTACCGATGGTAAGACAACTGATTTGTAGAGATGAGAAAGTGTTAAAGGGTTCAGGTACTGAGATCCAATATCATTAAGGGCGAAATACGAGTTTTTCCCCTTTCGACATGCAGAAATTATCCTATCTGAAAGATTGCACTTATCATTGATAAGAATACCGAGATGATTTCAGTTGTCCAGACAAGGAATGGTTTCGTTTCCCAAGAACCATACATAGTCGAAGTCTACTCTGACATTTTTTGCGCGGAATCTCAGAATACAGGATTTTGGGGCATTGAACGTAAATCGCCATCTCCTGGAATGTTCGAATGAAATGTTCAGCATTGTTTGAAGGGATGCAGGTGAAAGTCCTATGTATGCTAGATCATCTGCCAGTGAGGGACAGCTACATAAAATATATTAAGAATGCCTGAATAATTGGATGATTGTTCTAGAATATTAATCAAATCGTTAATGTACACAAGATACAAGAATGTAGAAAGGACACCGCCTTGTCTGACACCCTGCTGGACAGGAAACCACCTGGACTGAGATTGATTAACTATAATAGCACTTGATGTATCAATGTGACAGTCCTTTAGTATAGACCAAAGTTTTCCTGTTACACCAAGTTCATACAAGTTCAATAAAAGAGCATGTCTCCATACTGTATCAAATGCCTTTGTACTATCTAAAAAAACTAACATAAACATTGCTACCCTGTTCTAAATTATGAAAAATAGTTTCATGTAAGTTGAAGGATGCCGTCAAACAACCTAGCTTCTGTTGAAAACCTTGCTGTTGGGGATTTGGGAATGATTTATTAATTAACACATGTTCAGAAATGCGGATATGAATGATACTTTCAAAAATCTTTAAAAAGCATGACAATAAAGCGACTGGTCTGTAGCTATTGCACGAAGTTTTAGATTTATCCCCTCCCTTGTATAGCGGCACAATGAATCCCCGTTTCCATGCACAAGGTATCACCCTATGCAAAACAATAGCACTAAACATTTTTACAGAACATGCAAGGGCACATTCGCCACCGAAAACAATGTGTTCATGTGTTACTCGATCAGCACCAGGTGCTTTTCTGTATTTCAGCTTGCGAATGATGGGTGTTAACTCGGTTACAGTAATTGGGCCACCGGGAATGTCGCCGCTATAATGATCACACAGCTTTTCAATGTCTGCATACTTCTCTTCAATTTGGCGATGGAAGTCTTGGTCAAATGATGAATCATCAGAAGGAGTATAAATATTTTGAAAGTGCATTGCAAAGGCTTCAGCGACTCCAGAAGGATTGCTATAGGTAACTCCGTTTTCTCGGTGAATTTCAGGATAGGTATTGGAAGATCTGCGTTTCTGTCTTTTTACCAACTTCCAAAATAGGCGAATATTGCAGTCGGCTGCTTCGTCAACATCACGGTATACGCCACTCATATAGCGCTCGTTTTCTGTATTTAGTGCATTTCTGAACTGTCTTTTGGCTCTTTTGTAGTTTCGATAAGTTTCATAAACCATACCCCTAGGTCTCCCTTCATCAATCCAGAGACGCCGCATTTTTCTTTCTTACACATGGGATTCTTTTACCTCTTTGGCCCATCCCGGTCTTGTATGTGGATTAAAACCAGCTTGGGGTATATTGCGTATTACCAGGGGTTTTGAAAAGATATCAATTGATGAAAATTCTTGTATAATTAAAAGAAAAATATATACAAAAATTACTAAACATATATTCTAGATGTTTTGTTCATCCATACTTGTTTTAGAATAAGTGTACAACAGCATACATGTGTATATAGACATTAAAATGTAGCACACAGTTCCTTTAAGTATCGGAAACTCTTCAGTCCCAGGGAACAAGACAATAAAGTTTAAACTACGTTGCGTATGTCCTTAAACATTTTTCCTGGAGAAATATGGCAGATACCCTCTGTTGAAAATGAACTAGACTCAGTATGTACACCTTTATATGACACAATTTTCTCAAAGGCCAAAATTTGTTTGTTTGTTTGTTCTTTAACGTCCCTCTCGAGAATTTTTCACTCATGGAGACGCTCCCACTTGTCGGTGGAGGGCTGCAAATTTATACCTATACTTGGCACTTAGGTCCATTGAGCAGTAAGGGATTTTTACTGCGACACTGGACCTCAGTTTAGACGGTGTCATCCGCAGTGGGATTCGAACGGAGTAAGGATCAGCTCCTTACTCCGCGACTCTAGAGCAGACGCTCTAACCACTGCGCCACGCAGGCGACTCCAAAAGTAGTGTCTAAAGCATCCTTAAAGGGCGTTTTCTGTCAACCTTTCCATCGCAAGGTAAGCACATTTACGATTTCTTTTTTTTTTTTTAAACAACTTAATTTTATAAAAGTGAACAGAGGATGCTTAACCTTAATTATTAGTCGCCCGCGTGGTGCAGTGGTAAGAGCGTCTGCTCTAGAGTCGTTGAGTAAGGAGTTGATCCTTACGTCGTGGGTTCGAATCCCACTGCGGGACGTGGGGACTGGTCCTTCCAATGAGACCGTATAAACCGAGGTCCCGTGTCGCAGTAGGTGCTGGCACAAAAAAAGATCCCTCACTACGCAAAGGTCCTAAGTGCCGAGTATAGGTCAAAATTTGTAGTCCTCCACCGGCAAGTGGTGGCGTCTCCATACGAGTGAAAGATTCTCCAGAGGAACATTAAACAACAAACAAACAAGCTTAATCATTAAACCCATGATTTGCCAGTTACGCTGTATATGTACATTAAAGTTGTCAATTTATGTTAACTACTTCTAAACATGGAAAGCATTATCACTTCCCAGACAGAGCTGGTATTTTGCAATTCTCTAGTAATTTTTTTTTTTTTGTAAAATACAAGACATTGTTTTGGCCTTAAGAATTTTGGTTTTCGATGATTTTGACCTTTCAGAATTGACCTAAACTCATCTTTATAGAGAATGGCTGGAAAGACTGGTATGGCGACATTTTAGATATACGTATACCTTTCAATGGTATGAAATACTGCAAAAGCATGAATACATTTTATTGATCTAGTCATTTATGTATTTTCAGAGATTGCTAGTTATTAGTATATTATCTACCACAATAAATCTGACCTTTGAGGTATTTCTTGTTTGTAGTCAGTCAAGATTATAACAACTCTAAAGGAGTAAAAATTTTAAAATGATATCTGAAGTAATCAGTACTTGAGAGTTTAGAAATACTTGTATGTGCTATTTTTTTAGCTACATGTACAAAACTGTAACCTTTAAGATGTGACCTTGGTTTTAATGAGAGAATTGGAGATTTACTAAGTCATTTTTCATTCTGGCTTGAACAGCAATAGGGATCCAATACCATTGAACTTTAGATACATGTACTAGTATCTTTCGTTATGGCCTTGACTCGAGGCCAACACACCACATATGCAATTATAGGTTACTTTCTTCAGTATGTTAGATAAGGTTTGGAAAAAAAAATATAATTAGATAATAAATTAAACCACCCTGACAAAAATGTTTCCATTGAGACCGTAAAAGTTATTCAGCCCCCCCCCCCCCCCCTTTGGCAAAGTCTTCCAAAATGGTCGTTGCGAATCCAAACTGCACGTAACATATATATGTACTTGCACAAGTATGAGATCCGGTAGAAGTACTGACTTCCTTTATTCTCTCTTTAGAACTTATAACTCGCAGTTTTTGTTTCTTGTAGGTGTTTTATATGGCCAGCATAGCGAACGTTTTCTGAGCTATGGAACTATTGCTGTTGAATATTTGTATTCTATTGACCATTTGGTTAAATTTTATACCTTTAATAGCATTCTGTGATGGTAAGTAAATCTTTTTTTTCCACTTACGTTCAAATGATGACGACCAAATAGGGTATATTGGCCAAACTTTACCGTATCGATTTACAAAGTTGCTGCTGCAGCAGTGGTTAAAAAAGATGTTATATCTACACGACTTCCGAATGAAGCATCAATATTTACAGCTGAAGCAAAGGCAATACAACTTGCTTTTGATTACATTCAATATTCCTTTACAATTTTTTCAGATTCGCTCTCTTGCTTGCAATCCATTGACAATATGAACATTGACCATCCATACATTCTAGATATTTTAACCAATTGAAGTACTTTCATTTCACTAAACAAGGTAAAGTTGTTGAATTTTGTTGGATTCCAAGTCATATTGGTATCCCTGGAAATACTAAAGCTGACAGTGCTGCAAAATATGCACTTATGAAATTGTACGTTTTAAAGTTCCTTACACTGATCTCAAATATTTAGTAAAAACTTATGTAAACTCTCTTTGGCAAATATTTTGGGAATTTTGTGATAATAATAAACTTTATGCAATACAAAACAAAGTTAACCAGTCATCTGATTTTGGCCTGAAACGTCAGGATGAAGTCATAATTATATCAAGAGTACGAATTGGACATTCAAGGTTTACTCACTCACATTTACTAAACAGGGAACACCAACCTGAATGTATATCTTGCGACTGTGCAATGACTATACATCATATACTTTTTGAATGTATTGATTTTTCGCCTGTAAGAAGCAGACTATTTAATAATGTGCAAACAATGCATGATCTTTTTACAAATATTAATACTCATACAATTTTACAATACTTGAAGGAAACTGAATTTTACAGTAAGATTTAGATTTATTTATTTTAATTAACAATTTGTTTATATTACAAGTTTAACAGTTTTCATATTTTTAAAATTATGTCCGTCGGATGGGACGTTAAATGGTGCCCCGTGTCAAGGATTACAACCCCCTTGGCACGCAAAAGATCGTTTCTCTGGGTTTCGAAAAAGAGAAGGCTCATTGGGGGCCGCCAGGGAAACCCAAAAAACTTTCAACCCGGAACATAAACTTTAACCGCCGAAATATGGCTGAAATATTGCCAACTCGGCGTTAAGCAATAACAATCAATCAATCAACCGTTTCGATTTGTTCTGATTTCTGTTTGCGTGCTGGTTGTATCTTGAATTTCGTTAACTGGATCCTTATAAAAGTAGCACTGTTGTTCCCTCTATTTGTATTTAAAGTACTAAAGTTGAAATTAGGAATCATGTATACTAGGGCTGTATCAATATATCGATACGTATCGATATTTAAGAATGTATCGTATCGAAAAAATAACTTCCAATACGTATTGGACAAGTAGATTTTCTCATAATTCTGTGAAAAAACACCAAAGATTAGATTTTCACTGTTTGAATTAAAATTGATCAATGACATAATCATTAAGGAGATAGGACATCTTAGATAAATATTATAATATTATACATAGACAACTTTTTTTAACATATTGTTTTTACAGTCATTAAAAGTTTGATTTTGAAGTTTAATTTGTAGAGACAGTGAGACGAGCCCTTCGAAATGGATTATAAAACAATTAGTTTTTTATAAAATTCATGCATTGAATGATTTATAAGACTTTTTGATAGACTTGTTAAAGAATCCAATATATCGGATATCGCATTATAAAATATTGTATCGTTTCGTATCGATTTTTTTTTTTGCTGAATACACAGCCCTAATGTATACATGTATAAGTTTGCAAAAATCAAAATTTTTAACTTATCTATAGCATTACATGCATCATTTTATATCACAATACTCATTCATAGAAAACCTGTGAGCCAGAGTAATATCCATACGGTCACTCTGAGTTCATCTCTAGTGGAGAGGCTTATCTTAAAAAAAAAACAGAAGCCTCTGACGAGACTGTAGCTCTACTGCTTTGTACTTAAAAGTACAATATGTAGCACATGGACTTGAAACTTTGCAACAATAAATAGAAGGTTAGGTCTCTTCTTGTGGCAAGATTTATTGCAATCAGACTAAAATTGTATAGGAGGAGTCGCCATATGAAAGAATTTTACAGAAAATTCTGTTTTGATAATATATTGCAGCATCATTCATCAAAAACCAATAAAGAAAATTATGAATCTCAGTGTAGTCTATTTGCATGCCATTAGTAAAATTAAGTATTTGTAGTAACCATGGCAACATCGTTCATTGAAATCAAAAACCGATAAAAAAAATATGTATTGAAGTGTATTCTACTTGTGCGCCAAGTTATACTGAAATCAGACCAAAGCTGTAGGAGGAATAGCGTTTTGAGTATTTCAGAAATTTCTAATTTTAGTAACCATGGCAACACCGTTTATCGAAATCAAAAATTGATAATGATACTTATATAACTTAGTGTAGTCTACTCGTGTGCCAAGTTATATTGAAATCAGACTAAAACTGTAGGAGGAGTAGCATTTTGAAAAATTGTTTACAGACAGACGGACGACGGACACCTTGCTATCGCACAAGCTCTTTTGGCCTCTGACCAGTAGAGCTAAAATCCAACTGGATATAGTTTGTTGCATACACCAACCCATGAAAGCATGAAGTATATGATTGATACAATTGCTTAACTGCAAAATTAGAACACCTATAGTAAATAACTGCTATTTTATCTAGATTATATACATGAACAATAAAACACTGTCATCACGCCCATGGAGGATAAGGGTGAAGAATGTAATTACCAAGTAAATCAAGCTAGTCAATTTTCAGCAAAGGTAGAATTTTCATATTTTTGACGGTGAATATATATTTTTTTTTTGCATAAAATGCCGTTATGATTAAGAGTATTGCAAACTAGAAAGTTTTAAAATTTTCCTTAATGACTTATCTGAATAGTCTTATATCAATAGAGAAGACATACAAAGAAATTATTGTGAAAATTAATTAGAATTGTTGAAGGATCTCATCGTACTTCGATGACTATAAGCAAAAACAATACGATCATGGGCACATCGCTCACCTAAGTCACTTTAGTCCTGCTTTCTTCAGAAGATTTTTTAAAAGACCCCCCTTCTTAATCGGATTATAAATTGTCACCCTATATTGGGGTCCATCCTGGCTAAATTGGGTCAATGGATCCATGCATAACAGGGATCCTTCAATATCAATATGACCAACAGGATCTTACTGTTCTAGAGAAAATTTTCCCTGTATACATCCATTATATAAAATACTAGTAACGTGATCTCCTATTGGATTGCACCCTACCCCATGGGCAATGATTTGAACAACGATTTTTTCAGATTTATCCCAAATAATAATTTTGAACTCTATTCTGACACCATCATACCCCGGGGGTCATGATTTGAATAATTTGGAAACCACACTTTCCCAGTCTTTTCTTGATCAGTGGTTCTTGAGAAGCTTTTCAAAGTTTTCCCCCTAAATTCCCACTATAAAATTTTGATCTATTGTGACCTCACCCTTGCCTAGAGCCATTGATATGAACAATTTAGAATCAACAGTATGTCAAAAAGCTTACCCATGTTTTATCGTTTTCTGGTCTAGTTGTTCTTGAGAATATAATTTTTTAGGTAAAGTATTCTCGCTAAATATGCTCATGTAAAACTTTGATCTCCCCACCCTATCCCTGGAGACTAAGTTTTGAACAATTTAGAATCTACACTATATCAGGAAGCTTACACATATTAAGTTTTTTTCTGTCCCAAGATTTTTAAATGACATGCATGGTCCTACTTTTACCTTTTCTTTATTATCTTCCTTTGACCCTTCATAATACCCCCCCCCCCCCCCCGCAAACGAAGTTTGGGGGGTATATAGGAATCACCTTGTCCGTCCGTCTTTCTGTCTGTCTGTGCAAACGTGCCCGGTTAATATCTTTCTAACGGAAGAACATTAGAATCTGCCACTTCACACAAAGAATGCTCATGACCTGAGGGTGTGTCATGACCTTGACCCAAGGTCATTTGGGCAAGTTCAAGGTCACTGAAAGAAAAAGTTCATAATTCTTGTCCGGTCCATATCTTTCTTATTGATAAACTTGGTGTGTTCCCATTTTACACAAAGATTGCTTATGACCTGAGGGTGTGTCATGACCTAGACCCAAGGTCATATGGGCAGTTCAGGTCACTGAAAGAAAAAGTTCATAATTCGTGTTCGGTCCATATCTTCTAATGGATAAACTTGGTGAGTGCACATTTTATACAAAGATTGTTCATTACCTGAGGATGTGTCATGACTTTGACCCAAGGTCATTTGGGCAAGTTCAAGGTCACTGAATGAAAAAGTTCATAATCCATGTCCGGTCTGTATCTTTCTTATGGAGAATAATGTTGGGATTTTCCACCTCACACAAAGATTGCTTGTGACCTGAGGATGTGTCAAGATCTTGACCTATATTTATTGTAGAAGAAATGGATAAATAATGCATCTATACTTTCCAACAGAGAAATACTTGAAAAATTGTTATTTATTTTTTCAATGTAATAAAACAAATGTTATTGATTAATACAAAAAAAGTATTGATATTTTATTAGGCTGCGCCTTAGTTTCATTCATTAAAAAATATAATGAGTAATTACCGATAAATTTTTACTCTAAATGTTTAAACAAATTGTGAACACCTCTCCATGAGATCCATCAAATACTAATATTAGCGACTTGGCACCTTCTCTGAAAACCCTGTGAGGTATTTGTCCCTTTTGGACAGCTCTAGTTTGAATGATTTTTGAACCCATTAACCAAATATCCTTTGCGCAAACTTTGCTAAAAATTGGCCTGGTAAAAATTGTCCCAGTGGTTCTTGAGACGAAGTTCGAAAGTTTACAGACAGACAGACTCCGGGTAATTATATAACTTCATTTGAGCTTACAGCTCATGTGAACTTAAATACAGACATCATACATGCACTGAAATTTTTTATGCATGCACTGGAGAAATTACAGACGCAGTTTTGAATTCGTTAGGAAAATTGCTTGGATCCATGTTTGCATAAAAAAATCCCCATAGAACATTCCAAACAGTAGATACCAGTAATTATGGCATACATCATGCTACATGTATGTAGTTTTTTGTTTGTATCGATGATGCAAAAACTCTAGAAATTAGAATACATCTGGAAGTGTTTGTTCTTTAGTTCTGAATTTTCAGGTCCGCTATGGTGATGTCATAAAATTTAAAAAACTTTGCATAAAAGTTGCACTTCCTTATCGTAATCCATTTCTTTAAAAACACTTAACTTGCCTTTCAATGAAACAAACACTTGAAAGCAATTACGCAAACCAAATCAGCACTACTTTCCTGTTTTAGTGAGTAAAGTCTCACACAATAAACTTTTTAATTAAGGTCTTACGTTGGAGACGGAAAACCTGATTCCTTTTTCCCTATTACATATATATATTATTTTTTTTCTTACCGATTTTTGTGCAGGCATGTTCTCGAGAACTATTCGGTCGATTTATATGGTGTAAATGAAACTTTCAGATCTTACAGATATTGCTTTCAACCTTGTCGGAAATTATCGTCGTCTCGATGACGTCACTTTAAGTCGCAAGTTATGGCCGATTTTTAGGTCACCTGAGTTTACTCAGGTGACTATTGCTATCTGTTTTCGTCCGTCGTCGTGTGCCAACATTTTCAGCTTCTTCTTTGGAACCATGGGGCCTATTTCAACCAATTTTGACATATAGCATCTATGGGTAAGTAACAATTATGAAATTCATGGCCCCAGGCCCCCTCCCCCCCGCCCTGAGGGGTGGTGCTAAACCATCAAAATTAAAGCAATCTTCTTTACTCCTGGACATTGTTGGCACAATTGTAATAAGCACTGAGCCCTCTACCAAAATTATGAAATTCATGACCCAGGGTCAGGTGTTCTGGTGCTAGAGATGGGTTCTGTTGAATATATAGTGAACATGCATTATTTCTTAAAAATGTTCTCCTCTGCACCTGGATATTAATCAATCAAGCTAAATCAAGCTAAATGCATCGTTATGATAAGCAAGGATACCTCTTTCAAAATTGTGAATTTCATGGGTCCTGGGTCAGGGGTTCTGGTGTTTGGTCGGGGCTCTATTGATTATATAGCACTTTGAAAATCTCTGCACCCGAGTATTACATGTAAGCAAAGAATCGAAATGCCATAATATAGATGAAATTGTATAAATACATGCAATTTAAGGTAAATATGCCTTTTCTCTGTTCCTGGGTATCTAGAGACAGACAGAGTACAAATTGTAACAAGTGAAGCAAATGAGAGTTACTTCCCTTTGTGTTAATCAAGAAATCCTTGTATATAATTTTAATAACAGGTTATTTGATTGAATGCGAATACAAGATAGAATGTTTTATATACACTGTATATAAACAAAATTAAATTGAATGTTTGGTTTGAATGAGCCAAACATGCTAAAAGTCGGATTCTTGCCGGGAAAACAGTATAAAAGATTGACATAAAGATTATTTTTGTAGCGATAGGGCCAATTGTGTACAGAATGTGTATACTATAGTGTCCTGTTTGACAAATGATGAGTTATTGTCATGAAACGTCATGGAGATCAGAGTTAAGTCGGCAAGACACTGCATAAAGTTCTTCTATACCTTAACAAAGTGATCAAGTGATTACAGAGTGCCATGGTGACTAGGGTACATGTTGTAGTTCGTGAAAAGTGGCAAATCGCCATGTTGTAGAGCCAAGACTCTCTTTGTGTACTTAATTGTAGCACTAGGCAAGAGACAAAAACGTATATTTATATATTAAATACCTTGCACATTAGAAAAATGTCCGTAGTATTTGTATATTTTGCACTCATTATCACCCCTGTAAAACTTTGGAAAACCAATTACGATACCAAGGAGATCACTCGGGTCTCGCACGTTACAATAAGAGAGGGTATTTTTACCAGATTGTTGAAACTCGTGGGCAACATACATGTAGCTTCATTTGTCAGTTTTGTTTTATACTTCTATGGATCCTTTACAGTGTTGTATTATACTCTGGTGATCGTTAAGGCCCTTGGGCCTATTGTCTGTTTTAAAAATGAAATTTTGTCCCCCCGTTTTCCCAGAAACTATTTCAGATTGACTCTGAAACTCTCAGAGATAATTGATCGTGACTTATTGATAAGACATACGTGTTTCAATTTTGTTGCTGTCACTTCTGTTGTACACCGGAAGTAGTTTAAGAAATGCATTTTTTTTTTATTCATAAGTGTCCATGGTAGAGTCTTATAAAGTGTTTTAGTGATACTAATTCCATCGGAAGTTTCGAATTCGTCTTCCAAACCGGAAGTTGTCGAAAAATCAGTATAATTCATCGAAACTTTAAGAGATGATTCTTACACACTTTATGTGGAATTTAAAGTCATTTTTAACACTTCCGGTCACACTGGAAATCATTGAAAAAGAACCGAAAAAGTTATTTAAAATTCATAGATCTCACCTCTTATGTGTATCTATAAATATCTGTTCCTGTTATATTTAGTCGTCCTTGTCTAATCAACCAAGTCAAGATATCATCTTGTTTCTTCAGAAATCGGACGGAAGACCTAGGCCTAGTCGTTTCTCGCAACGAGATCACATCTACTTTTGATTTTACAATTGGATATGTATGCAAAGGAATAAGAAACGCAGATTATTGTTAGTTATGTATATACATGTATATTCAGCGAAGATTCATTCAGCTCATTTCTTACATTAGACTGTCCCCTCCCTAACAAAAAAAAATATACTATAATAATAGTTAAATATAGTTTACTGTAGTATCAAAGTTTTCACTATAATAGTAAATCAAAGTTTTTACTATGCTTAATCAAGGTATGTTTACTACGAATTTCAAATTCTTATATTTATTTTCTCAGAACATGAAATAATATTTTTGATATTAAATGGAAATATTACTTGTATATTTACTCTTATTTCCAGAATTTTAGAAATATAAAGGCTCTAACTCTCGATAAAAGTTCTTGAGTAAAGTTCCATTTTAAATCAAAGTATTTACTTTTGTAAATTGTAGTAAACTATGATAAATTTTTAATAGGGCTTGGCTAGCAACAAAACAATTATGACCATCACCATCATAGCTACTATTGATTGAGTATAACTATTAGATAATATTCAAGTTAAAATTAGTTGTATTTGACGATTTTAACATGATCTGATGAACGTTAAATAAACCCGAATTTGCAACAACTATAAATTATGAAAAATTTATTTACAAGAGGAATGTTCCATATACAAAACTGCTGTTGATATAATTATATCAATATGGTGTAACTTGATGTGGAAATAATTGAGTTTCTTATTATGAATATTATGTCTTTCAGCCCAGTCACCAAATATTAGATTAATAGGCGGAACGTCTGATACAGAGGGAAGAGTGGAAGTATTTTATAATAGTTATTGGGGAACGGTGTGCGATGACAACTTTGATGACAAAGAGGCCGCCGTCGTCTGTCATATGCTCGGATTCAGCAGGTAACAAAGTAACTTGTATAACATTCAGAATACTTTTATTTATTTATTCGATTATCCTTTATAACAACCAACAAACGAAGTTTGCGGATGGTGTAAGGTATGTAAAGGTGTGACAGTGTATTGATCTTGCAGCAAGGACAGTTCAGAAAAGATCAAGAAGATATTCTGTATACAAATTTTGCTTGCGACTCTAGAATATGTCCTCACCCTAACCCCGGCAGCTTTAATTTTGAAGCAGAGAAATACATTCCCGTAGAAAGCAGAGACGGGGGCACTTTTTTTGAGTATACATGTAGTACTTTGCTATAGCAAATTTCCCTTCAGATGCTGGTTGGCTTCCCCACTTTTTGTTGCTGTAAGGTAGAGCACTGGCAAATTCCATGACTTGGACAGTTAATTATGTTTTTTTTATTTGCTTATAAGATTATTTTAGAAAGTTTTCATTTTTGAAACGGGTCTGAAATAAAACCTGGAAATTATTTTCGGGGCAAAGGTGGCATGTGACCAAATGTTTATTATGTAAATAAATAAGCACAGGACCAGGGTCTTGGTTTATCAATATGCATACCTAACTGATATGTAAAAGAGTGAAGGTATGCAGGTTCCGTAATGGCATCTGCTCCATTCACTTGATTACATGGCCTGTTCTTTGAAAATAACGCTGCGCCTACGCATTTCGTACACCAGATGTCTCAAAACATTAATCTTATCGTAAAACCCCCAATTTCTGCAAATAATTCCTATTATATTATTTTTAACACTTTTTCAAACTTTGCTTTAACGTGTCCGGAACAATTGCAAATTGTAAAATCCTAGTATTCAAAACAACAAATCTTAGAATTCTAGAGGCGTTCCGGAAAATTTAATATAACTTGAATTATCTCAAAACTAGTTTTATTATTCTTTGAATGCCTCTAGTTCTAGAATTACAATAAGTGATCAATGTTTTGAGATATCAAGTGAATGGAGTGCCGTAGGTGCAGGGTTATTTTTAAAGAAGCAGACGCCTTTACTGAGCCTGCAAATTGTTCTTTTTGCATACCAATAGGTATGTCAAGACAATATGTACCTGTGGGAATAACTTTAGAAGATAATACTTGTTCTCAGATATGAATATCATCAAAGTATTTAGACAAGGTAAAGAAATTAAGAGGTATTAAATTCAGAATGTCCTAGAAATGTAGAATTTTAATAGACAGAAGCGCATCAAGAGGCTATTTTGAACAAAGGTTGCGTCTGACGTAGTTAATGACCCAGAAGTTAAAAGACCTTTATATGCTAGGCATGTGGATGATATCTTCTTTACTCAGCACAAAGGCTACTCACAACCAGAGGTACATGTATTACAGCGTTTTGCCAGTTGCATTTCATCAAGATTTAAGCCATTTGAATTTCACTTTATTTGTAGCAAGATGACGGAGTGTTAATTAAAAGTATTTTAAAATATGGACCTTTTTAAGTTCCCCCCCCCCCCCTTGGGATTTTAGTACGACTAGAAGTTGGTTTTTTTTTTCATTTTGAATATGACGGTGATGGTTATTGATTTCAAAGGGCAAATGCGAAAGCTAAGGGGTCAGCCTTTTTTGGAGAAGGATCTGGACACATTTGGATGGATGAGCTGCGTTGTACGGATTCGGATACAGATTTGTTTCAATGCCCCCAAAACTCGCGTGGCTCCCACAACTGTGTACACGGAGAGGATGCCGGCGTCGTCTGCCAAGTGCTTTCTGGTTAGTTAATTTTTATTATAGTCCATCATGTAAGAGCTACATGTATAAATAAACACTGTTAGTCTGTCCCAGATCTTTTGATGATGTGATGAAGTGTTATTATTTCCAAATTGAAGCAAAACAAGTATATCACGATTAATTAAAGTTTATAAAAATGTGCATCATAGTTTAGGTCATTACTGTCCGACATACGAGAAAACGGTATTAATTTCGAAGAATCGAAAGACCCCGACCATTTTCGAAACGTTAAATCCTTGTTGTGTGAAAATTTGCTAGTTTGTCAATAAACCAGTTGGACTAATTCAAGGTACACATTTCTTCCTTGATTGAACCTAGTTTACAAGCCAAGGCACATGTAGCTATATATTTCGTGATAAAATGATAAAAATGATGATGTGGTACCGTAGAGACAGAATATATTATGTTTGAAAATGATGCTTACAAGAAAATTATTGAAAACTAATAGTTATGTTTTTTGAAGTTCTAAATTTGTATCAATTTAATACCAGGATGATTGTAGCATCTATTTAAATAGAAGAATGTAAAGTTCGATTGATTATTGGATGATTGTAACATTGATTTTAATAGATTGATGGATGGATAGATTGATTTATTATTGCTTAACGCCGAGTCGGCAGTATTTTAGGATATATCTGTGACTCAGTTTAGGTCATATGACCGGCATTTGATAATTTAAAGTTCTTCTGACTCCCTCCAAATGAGCCTACCCTTTTTCGAAAACCAGAGAAACGATCTTTTGCGTGCTAAGGGGGTTGTAATCCCTGACATGGGGCACCACTGAACGCCCTATTTAACGAACTTAAAATTCAATATGTAAACATATAAAACATACGTCTTTATCAACAAAATTGCTTAAACTAAATACATCTAAATCTTCATTTAAAAACGTTTCGTGTAAATAATCTAAAATTGTGTAAGTGTAAACATTAAATTTTTGTAAAAAGTGCATCGTTTGTACACTACAAAAAGTCAACTTCCAATAGGCAAAAAATCAGTCCCATCTTCAGTAACAGAATATAAGAATATGAGTAATAATTAAATGAAAGCCACAAGATTTACATTCTGGTTGAAATTCACATGATTAAGTAATAATGAATAAATGCACAATACATATGTAACAAGATTTACAGAGTTATGCCGCTTGTCATGTGAACTGTATTAGTGTCCTTGTAATTGTGACGTCATGTAGTGTGTATTAAAGATGGCAACTGTGCACAAGTGTTGTTGAGAATCTTACATGGTGTCAGAAGAAAAATGGACCGGTTAAACCCTCCAGCCGCACTCAACTTAAACGGAAACTTAAAGGAGAACTGGAGGCGATTTAAGCAGCAATTCGACATATATAATATAGCGTCCGGAACGGCGAAGAAAGATGATAAAGTGCAGGCTATGACCTTACTCCACGTGGTTGGCGCTGAAGCCATTGAGGTTTATAATACGTTTACCTGGGATGACAAAGATAAAGAAAAAGTCGCGGACATTTGTGAGAAATTCGAGGCTTATTGCAACCCGAGGAAGAACATTACATATGAAAGGCACATGTTCAACACCAGGGTACAGAAAGAAGGTGAGCGCATAGATGCATATGTTACTGATCTAAAACAAAGAGCTGCGAGTTGCGAGTTTGAAAATTTACAAGATTCTCTTATCAGAGATCGGATCGTATGCGGGATCAAGAGTGACTCTGTAAGAAAGAGACTGTTGAGAGAAGAAAACCTTACATTACAGAGGGCTATAGACATTTGTCGTGCTAATGAAGCCAGTGAATCACAGATTAAAAATATCGCAGATGAGAAAGCTATAAATCACGTGGTCGCGCAAGGAGCATATGGCGGGTTCAGGCGTGTCAGAGGAAATTCGCGTCATAATAACAACAAACCGACACGTGATAGAGACAAAAGCAAACCACGGCAAGGAAAATGTAAGCGCTGTGGAACTTCTCATGCTCGAGGAAACTGTCCAGCGTACGGTAAGGAGTGCAGAAAATGTGGGAAAATGAATCATTTTGAAAAAATGTGTAAAAGTCGGAGAGACCGTGTACACATGCTCCAGCATGAGTCCGATTCGGATGCAGATAGAGATTCACTGTCAGATGACGAATTCCTAGCATACGGAATCGAGACCACGGACAAGGATAGGGAACAGGACTGGATGGTTCGAGTGAAAATCAATGACATTTCCGTTGACTTCAAGATAGATACAGGGGCACAGTGTAATGTGATCACGGAGAAATTTTGCAAAGAAGCAGGAATCAGGAATATTAGCAAATCGAAGTCGCGATTAATCTCATACTCCAAGGATGAAGTCAAAACTATTGGCAAGACTCGCGTTGTGTTAGAATACAAACAGAAGTATTATGATGCTGTAGTTCATGTTGTGGATCATGATGTTGTACCTGTACTTGGCTTACAAACTTGTCTGGATTTGAAGCTTGTCCAACGTGTAAATCTGGTCGATGAAAATCAAAGTACTGCGAGTACTGACAGTGTCATCAAGGAATACCAACACTTATTTTCTGGAATCGGATGTTTGCCAGGAGAATATGACATTAAAGTGAATCCAAATGTTACACCTAAAGTGCACCCTCCACGAAGAGTTGCACACGCTTTAAAACCGAAAGTCAAGGAAGAGTTAGACAGGATGGTTAGTGAGAAAGTCATCACGAAAGTAGAAAAACCAACAGCATGGGTTAATCCAATCGTCATTGTAGAAAAACCCAATGGAAAAGTAAGAATTTGTTTGGACCCAAGGGACTTGAATCGCGGAATTCAACGGGAACATTATCCGCTGAAAACAGTTGAGGAGGTAGCCGCAACGCTAAAAGATGCAAAAGTTTTCAGTACTCTTGATGCTGCCTCAGGATTTTACCAAATCAAGTTGTCAGAGAGGAGCACTTGGGTGACAACATTTAATACTCCTTACGGGCGATACAAGTTTGAACGTCTACCCTTCGGAATTTCTAGTGCGCCGGAAATTTTTCAGAGAACAATATCGCAAATTTTTTCAGACATTGATGGGTGTAGTACTATAGCTGATGACATTTTGATTTATGGACGGAATCAAGAAGAACATGATCAGAGACTCTCAGCTGTCTTAGCAAGAGCACAAGAAGTTAACTTGAGGTTCAACAGACAAAAATGTAAACTCAGTCAGTCAGAAGTCAAATTCGTAGGTCATGTGTTTGGACCAGATGGATTGAAGCCTTGTCGAAGTAAAGTTCAAGCGATAATTGAGATGAAGAGTCCGGAAAACAAGAAAGACCTACAAAGATTCCTGGGAATGATTAACTATTTAGGAAAATTCATACCCAATATGTCAACAGTGAACAGACCGTTGCGTCAACTTCTAGAAAAGAATGTTGAATGGCATTGGACACAGACACACCAACAAGCATTGGAGGAGTTGAAATGTGCAATTACAAGTGCACCTGTTCTCAAATACTATGACGTGTCAGCACCAGTAAAAATTTCAGCAGATGCTTCTTCTGTAGGACTGGGAGCATGTCTTCTACAAGGAAATCAACCGATAGCTTATGCGTCGAGATCCTTAAATTCAGCTGAACAGAACTATGCTCAAATTGAAAAAGAGCTACTCGCTATTGTGTTTGGACTCATTAAATTTCATGATTACGTGTATGGGAAAGTAGTGGACATAGAAACGGACCACAAACCACTGGAAAGTCTTTACAAAAAGCCATTATCCAATGCACCACCGAGATTGCAGAGAATGATGTTAAGAATCCAGAAATATGACTTGAGAGTAAAGTACTCACCGGGAGAAACACTTCACATTGCCGATACTCTTAGTCGCGCAGCATTAAGAAACGATGAATCAGAAAATGACTTTGAGGTTCATATACTCGAGAACAAACCGATAACATGTGAAAATGTGGAACGATTCCAGGCTGAAACTGCAAAGGACGAAATACTAGGGAAACTGATGAAAACCGTGATTAATGGTTGGCCAGAATCCAAACAGAAAATTGATCCGGAGTTAAATCTGTATTGGAACTTCAGAGATGAGATCAACATATCTGACGGACTTGTGTTCAAGGGAGATAGAATCATTACTCCTTTATCTATGCGTCATGAAATGCTGAAAAGAATTCATCTGAGCCACATGGGAATTGAAAAAAGCTTAAGCAGAGCACGAGAATTACTTTACTGGCCTGGGATGAGTCAACAAATTAAAGACCTTGTAGAACAGTGTGAAATTTGCAATAAACACAGAAATAAACAGCAGAAACAACCACTCTTACAACATGAAGTGCCAAACCGACCATGGCAAAAAGTTGCCACTGATCTCTTCTACTTGAATGGAGACTCTTACCTAGTACTTGTTGACTACTTCTCTAAGTTCTTTGAACTGTCAATGTTACAGGATACCAAAAGTCTGACAGTTATCAAATGTCTCCGTCAAAACTTTGCTAGATATGGAATTCCAGAAAAACTCGTTAGCGACAACGGACCAGAGTATTCAAGCTACGAATTTCAAGCTTTTGCTAGAGACTTCGGTTTCAAGCACATCACATCATCTCCAAGGTACCCTCAGAGCAATGGACTAGCAGAGAGGACCGTTCAGACAGCCAAAAAACTTCTGAAAAAGGCCATTGAAGACCATCAAGATCCGTATTTATCTCTTTTAGAGCTTCGCAATACACCACTTCCTGGTGTGGGACTTTCACCTGTGCTACTTCTGATGGGTCGCAGAACCAGATCTTTCGTTCCAGCCAAATCGTCACTCTACACACCCAACAACTTCCCTGGGAAATCCGTCAGGAAAAATCTACAATTTAAACAGCAGAAGCAAAAACACTACTATGATAGAAATACCAAAGAAAGAACACCATTATCAGAAGGAGACGTAATTAGAATTCGTTCACATCAATCATCATCAACTTCATGGAATCCAGGACAAGTCGTCAAACAATGCGAGGAACCAAGATCCTACATAGTAAAATCAGGAAACCGCATATTCAGGAGAAATCACAAGGATTTAGTGAAAACCAAGGAAAGGAGTGTTCCAGAAAATTCTAGGGAGGAAGAAGACGACGTAGTGATCATTCCACCAATGCAGGCAGATTCAACGCATACAGATTCGAGGAGTGTTATAGGTAGTAAAGAGTCGTGTCAGCCAGTAAAGGCAGTGAAAAGTGAAAGTGTCAAAATATGTGAAAATAATGAAAATGTGAAAATTTCAAATCCCAAAGTCCGATTCACAAGGTCGGGAAGAGCGTCAGTGTTACCGGCAAGATACCAAACTTAACGCTTGTAATAATTTCAGTGTTGTGTTTGTCTACAAGTATGGACGTTACCAAACTCTTTTTCTGTTTAAAGTTAATTCATGTGTCCAGTGATGTTTTGAAATGCGGCGGATTTGTTTAAGAAATGTTTTATTGTTATCATGTTATGAGTAATTGAAATACACAGAACTCTAAATTCGGACATTTCAAATTTACAGTATATTTATTTAGCAATAGGATTCTAGGATTTGTAAAACTGTAAACGCACAAATATCTTAAAAAGGGAGATGTAACAAGATTTACAGAGTTATGCCGCTTGTCATGTGAACTGTATTAGTGTCCTTGTAATTGTGACGTCATGTAGTGTGTATTAAAGATGGCAACTGTGCACAAGTGTTGTTGAGAATCTTACAACATATTCTTTAGGTGATCACTTCGTCTTGACGTTTCAGGCCAAAGTCAGACGATTTGTTAACTATGCTTCCTTTACCATAAAGTTTATTTTTTTAATTACGAATTTCCCAAAAAATTGCGAAAGAACATTATATTATTTTGAAGAATATTTTAGATCAGCTAGTTTAAGGAATTTTAAAACGTGGGATTTCATACTGAAGAGCAATTTTTGCAGCACTACTGTTTTCAGGGATGTCAATATGACTTGGAATCCAATAAAAGTCAGCTACATGTATTTTACTTTGTTGATTGAGTTCATAGAACTGAATTAAAATATTCAAAATAGATGGGTAGTCAATGTTTATATTTTGTATGGATTGTAAGCATGAAAGCGAGTCCACAAATACTGGAGAAAAAAGACCTGAGTCACTCATGTGACCTTCATATATTGCTATCCGTTTTTGTTTGTCGTCGTCCGTCGTGCGTTAACATTTGAACATTTCCATCTTCTCTGAAACCGCTGAACCATTTTCAACCAATTTTGGCATATGGCATAAATATGTGAAGGGGAACAAAAATTGTGAATTTCATGGTCTCTGCCAAACCACGAAAATTAATGCAATCTTTAAAAATCTTTTTCTTTACCCCTAGACATCAAGCAATCAAACTGTTGGCATGATTTTAATAAGCATTTGAGCTTTCTACTAAAATTATGAAATTCATGGGCCCTAGGGTCAGGATTTTTTTTATAAATTAGGATGCCTCTTCCGAATTGTTAAATTCATGGCCCCAGGGTTGGGGGGGGTTCTGGTGAAAGGGGAGAGCTCTATTGCTTATATAGTGAAAAAGCATAATTTCCTTGAATTTCTTCTCTGCTCCTGCCCTAACAAAGAATTACTATAGTTTAATATAGTTAACTGTAGTTAACTAGTTTACTGTATAATAGTTAACTATAGTTTACTATAGTTAACTAAAGTAAAAACTTTAATTTACTATGAAACTTAACACTGGAACTTTTTTGAGATATCAAAGCTCAAAACTCGATAATAGTCGTGCAAAAGCTGGAAATAATATGTGAATATACAAATAATAGTCTCATTTAATATAAAAAAAAATGTGCATGTATGAATTGGAGAACATAAAATAAAACAGTCTGAAATCAATAGTAAAAATACTAGTAGTTTGATTTATTATGGTAAAAACTTTGATTTACGATAGTAAAAATTGTGATACTCTAGTAAACTATAGTTAATTAAAGTAAACTATAATTAATTATAGTATTTTTGCTAGGGTGGTTATAAAGCAAAGAAACTAAGTGTATAGTTATGATGATCAAGAGACAGAATTGTGAGTTTCATGGCCAATGTATCAGATGTTCCGTTGTAAGGATGGGGGTCTATTGATAATATACTGTATACAGGGAAATTTTCGCCCCCGTTTTATTTTCGCCCTACTCACAGATGGGTGAATTTAAAACGGGGCGAATTTAAAAAAACACACAATATAATTTATCAAACAGAATTGTGACTGGGCGAATTTAAAACGGGGCAAAATTGTTTGCAAGTGTGAAAGGGCGAAAATACCAAGGGGCGACAATAACCCTGTATACAGTAGTGAAAACGCTTTAATTCTATTGAATAATCCTGCCTGCTCCTTAGTGTTGAGCAGTTAAACAAAGTGCATAGTTATGATAAACAAGGGTCCTTTTTACAAAATTTGGTCCCAGGGTCAGGGATTCAGGTGTTTCTTGGGGGGGGGGGGGTCTCTATTGATAATTTAGTGAAAATGTGTTAATTCTTCGAAAATATTCAACTACATGTAAGTGCATAGTTTTGATGATGGGGGTACATGTACCTCTTCCAAATTTGTGAATTTCATGACCCTGGGTCATGGGTTGTGGTGTTAAGGTAGGGCTGTGTTGAATATGTAGTGAAAATGCATTGTTTCTGTGAAATTCTTCTCTGCTCCTGGGCATATCGGAGGCAAACAGAGTAAAAGTTTTAATAAGTAAGAGTATTTTTACAGATTTTTGAACATCTGGACCATTTGGTCAAGTGCTCTGGTCCTGGCAGGGCTCTATTAATTTGTAGTCGACTTATAGAAGTTATTCCCCTTTGCCATTCAATTTTGATAATTAATCACTGTAAATAATGGATTTGAAAGGTTGATAGCTATAGAATTAGAGAATTATGCAAGAATTTTTATTGATAATACAAAAAGTACTTTCATAGTTTTAATGATCAGGTAGACTTGTAAATAATAGATAAATAAAAATGAGACTAAAATAACTTAATATCTTATTAAATGTTCTTCTAAGAGCAAGAGAGACCATTGTGAGAGGTTTCAATATGGGGTTTAAAATTGTACAGAAGCACTAATAGTGCATGGTGATTATGATAAAGGGGAACAGATTAGAACTTTAGATCCTTCTCTACACTGCACACTAAAGAGTTTTGAGCTTTTCTGATCAAAATTTGTCCGTTGTCTGTCTTCTTCTCCAGAACCACTGGGCCAATTTCAACCAAACTTGCCGTAAAGTATCCTTGGATTCAAATTTCTTCCAATGAAGGGCCACGCCTTCTTCCAAGGGGAGATAATTAGTAAAATTTTAATGGCATTTTTTTTAAAAATAAATCTTAAAAACAAGGGGGGGGGGGGAGAAAATAGAAAACTACAAGGAAGCATCCTCAGGTAGTTTAGCTTCACATTTATTCAAATCATGACCCTTGGGGTAGGGCGGGGCTGCTATAGGCGATGAAGGTTTTACATACATAGGAAAAATCTTTAAAAATCTCAAGAACAGCAAATCCATGATTCGTTATAATTATATGGAAGCATCCTTAGGTAGTGTAGATTTTTGCAGTTCATCAAAAGTAAAAAAGATAGAAAATTATTGTAAGAAAATAATTCCTTAAATTAAATTCTTAAATGTTTATTATTATTATATCATAATGATTGTAACATTCATTTTAAATAGAAGGATCAGATATAAGGCTTGCGGGCGGATCCAGTGCTTTGGAGGGTCGGGTGGAGATTTTTTATAACGGTGAATGGGGTACTGTGTGCGATGACTCCTGGGATAATAACGATGCAGCAGTCGTCTGCTTCATGCTGGGATTTTCAAGGTACCACTTTAATATTACAGTCTTATTGAATGAAAGAAGATGGTCGTATTTGGCGTGTGATCTGCAGGAATGATGTGTACGAAACATAGTTTAAATCTCCACGGTTTGGTCGGCGGCTGACCACAGCTGGACAGACTTTTCAAAGTTACCTGCATATGAAAATATTACATTCAATTTTACTTTGAAATACCTTTACAAATTGTAATATTTAAAACCGATTATCTTTATAGTTACGATGGCATAGTAAAACTTCACATAAATAATAAACACCTATGAGAAAATAGGGTACAGTTAAGGACTAGTTGAGTTTAAAGTTTCCGTTGGAAAAATTGCTTCCGCTCTCGGTGCGAGTGAACCAGAATTTATCTGTTTTGAAATTCAAATAATTCAGTACATAAAATGAAACTGAATTGATTGTTTGCATGAAAAGTAATTGACGCTCCATGCAACTATCGAACCAATATTTTCGATTCCAGAGTGCGCTGGACTGGTGACGCATACTACTTAGGCTACACAAACATTCACGATTTTAAAAAGACAATGAAACACTGCAAATACACCACAGGCACTTAATTCGGTAATAAATTTTTTAACACATACGTGTGTAGTGTAATAATACCCGGAACACAAGGTATCCATCTCCGAATTACATGGAGTAACCCCCTCCCCAGAATCGCAACCATTTACACTTTCATGGAGAGATAACTCAGAGATAGCAAATTTTTAGGAAAAAACGTGTTTAAAAATGGAACAGTTTGTACCAAATGACTCATCTGGCAAATTTTCAACTTAATTTTTTTTAGCAAATCAAATCAATAAGGGGAAACATTTCCTTTTCCTATTTCACAGGAACCCGATACTTCAAAAGAATGCTAAAATTTCTTGTGACAGATCAATCATTTTTCACTTTTCAAGTGCGTCTAGATTCCTGCTGAATGCCAATCAGAAGCGCCCTCATTCTTTGAAAACAAAATTTCCGTACTCATTTACTATTATGATATTTTTTTCTGTCTTATTTTTATTAATAACAGTGAATCAAAGGATACGATTTATGGACAAACATGTAAAAGTGCAAACAATCCATAAAAAAGTTTAAAATAAAAGAAGAACCTACAAAAAGAAAAATTAAATCTAAATATATATGTGTTCAAAACGAGACAACAGCTATGGTTTGTAATAGAAATTGTTGAGGTACATTGTAATACACAACCTCGAAACTTTCTGTATGAACCAAAAAAAACCCGTGTTCTAAATGATTTTTTAAAAAATTTACAAAGTAAACAGAGTCAGAAGCATTATTTTCAGGCATTGATTTATACATTAGGGTCTTTCTATTTGAATGAAGTCGTAATAATGAAAAAAAAATGGATCAAAGGAAATGTAATTCTGACATTTGTTCATTATGTAAATCGTCTGAATTTGCAGGGAAAACGCCACAGCAAAAACATCAGCATACTTTGGGCAAGGTAATAGCCAGATGAGGATTTGGACAGATGATGTTAAATGCCAAGGAGATGAAAGAGATTTATTTCATTGTAACAAGTCGAGGATGGGTACACACAATTGTGGACATTCAGAGGATGCTGGAGTAGTTTGTTCTTTAGGTAACTAAAGGTTCTGCTAACTCTGCATCTGTACTTTATATTTGGAGTATTTAGATTTTAGGCATTTTATGACCTGCATTTCAAGATTTATTTATTTGGCAAAATTAAGCGGTATTATATATATATATATATATATATATATATATATATATATATATATATATATATATATATATATATATATATATATATATATATCAGAGATAAATTCACTTAACAAGCCGCCCCAACCTAGGGTTACACTCTCGAAATGCGGAACCTGTGTATCCTAACAATGCAGAAACAGCGCGCTAGACCGCTCGGTCATCTATAGTAAAAAAAAATTGCTTTCGATGGCGATGTAATTCTTGCGGCGTCGAGCTAAACTACACGGTCATTGAGAATGGAATTGAGATACAGATATTTGGACAAAGTTTTATTAGAGGATCGTTACCGATACATATTGCCGATACATATTGCAATGAAATTATTATTATTTAAAGCATATAATACGATTGACCTCGATACACGAACAATCCTTCACGCGCACAATTCTACATGATACTAGAACGATCACGATCGATAATGCAAACGCATTATTCTTTCCGCAAAATGGGTAAAAATACTTCGAATTGTGCATTTCCGAAACAAAATGTGTTATTACTTTAGATTTGAAATAATTTAGGTATGTATCAGTTGTTCAACATTTAGAAACATGTTTTACTGTAATTTACAGCTACATACTTTAGAATGATGGTTTTCATCGTTTCAATTTGTGTATCGGTGATATCAACTACATTGTAGGTTGTAAAATATTGTAAAATTTATGCTTTAAAATCTAAATTGGTAGATTTTAAAAATAATTAAATCAATTTTTACCCAATATTATACCCCCACCTTAGCTCCAATATATGGATTATGGTTAAACTAAACTTGAATCCACTTAACATGAGAATACTTAAATTTCAGTAAGACTTAAATTGCCTTACTGTTCTGAATAAAAGATTCATATTAAACATTTTAAGGTTCATAAACCCTCTGCTCACTCATATCAAATGTAGCTTTAACTTTTATGATTTTCCGAAAGAAATGTATTTTACAAGTAAAATACCAACACTTATACCATAGCTTGTGGGGAAAATTAAATAAACAAAAAAAAGACCATTTCAACTTGACAAATCTATAAAGGAATAATAAACATTTATGTCATTAAATCCCTCTTATCAGAGTATCAATGAACCTTAAATTAAGTTATCAGGAAAAACAACAATGCTAGTCATCATGTGTAATTTTCAATTTGAAACTCAAAAGCAGATTCGCCTACTTAATTTTTTCGTGCAGCTTTCAAAATTTTATTTTCGAATCTTGGTACTAATACCGTAATATATTTAGCAATAAAAAAGTAAATTGTGTTTCTCGTAAAATTTGAATTGAATTTATCATTTATCATCTTTGATGAACATTTTATTTACTTTTAATTATTCATTTATTTAGTTTTGATCAACCTTTTTCAAGAACGTATTGATTGTCCAAAATAAAGTAAGATCTTTGTTCACTTATGACATCTTCAAAATCGTCTGCAAACGCGATAATTAGATTTCGTACGCTTAGCCTCGGGCAGTTTTAACAATACATAACACATCAAACGACGAAAATTTGACCCCACACAATTATGTGATTTTACAATGCAATATCATTTTGGACGGTGCAACTTTGTCAAATAACAATCATTTTACGAATTCATTACTCTAATTTCGAGACAAAAGGCTTAGAAAATCAGTAAAAATAAAACAAGTAGCTATGAATTTGCAAAATTCAATAAAACTTTTCCGCAATATTTTCAGAGAGTAAAGTGTTTATTAGAACTTTTCGAAGTTATGTTTATTATAAAAGTAAGAAAGAAAACGTATAAAAGATACACAAAGCAAAAAACTAGATGCTGATATTACGGAATTTAATGATACAATTTCTGTTTAAGAGAGAATTTTTGAAAGATTTTTGTAAAAAAAAAAAAAAAAAAAAAGGGGGGGGGGGGCGGGGGGTAGGAGGGGTGTGTGTAATTTTTGGCTCAGAATTGGAACTTGTTGAATTTATTGTCAAAACAACAAATATTATTTTAGTACATTCCGCCTTGATAAACATTAAAAATTTAGATGCCAAAATGACCACCTTTGAAAATGCTCGAATTGTGCAATTTTTTTTCAGTATTTGGGTCGGAAAAATACCTTTTCAAACCCGCACCCGATCAACAATATGTATGTAAAAAATCAATCCCCGGCCACCCACAATATGCATCTGTTTTCCTGCCATATTTGGAAAAGATACCCAATGTTATGTTTAAAAAAAAATATCGTATGCAATTTTGATATAAATTTTACACATTACACCTTTTTGGAAAAATTCTTTGCATGCGTTGGAATTTCGTCACACTATGAGCACTACTTTTACCATTATCATAATTTGATTGCACATGGTATACTTGCATCGTTATCATTCTCTTCCGCTGCGCTCCATACACCTCTATCAACGCTTGTTATACAAGATTCTTGGAAAAATTGTAAATGATGAAAAATTCTATTAATAATAGATTTTAATTAATGTTTCTCATCTGAAAACAGGATTTATTTTAATCTATCCTTCTGTATTCAATAATCCAGAAGTGAAAAAAGGATTAGATAGATTACAAGATCAGTACGTACTGGTCCCTGCTGACAAAGCAGGTAACAACATTGTCTTTGTTTGTAAGGGTCATTACATGTATATTAAATGTATTTTAGAGGAACTTGGATTTAATTCTACAAGTGGTAATCCAACTTATACTCACAGTTCTCTTTCTAAGGAAGAAATTCTTCAAAATCATATGTCAGTTTTGAATATTTTTAATATTACAAACAACCAAAATGAATTCGTATTACCATATCTATATTGGATTCCGAAACTTCATAAAAATCCTTACAAACAAAGATACATAGCGGGTTCCAGTAAATGTTCAACCAAGCCTCTTTCTTTACTCCTTACTAAGATATTAACAGTAGTGAAGGGGAAACTTCAAGAGTACTGTGCAACAATATATTCGAGAAGTGGTGTAAATCAGATGTGGATACTTAAAAATTCCAAGGAGCTTTTGGAAAATTTGAAATCACAAGATTTTACCTAAATCAACAGTTTAAAAACTTACGACTTTTCAACTTTATACACAACCATTCCCAACGATAAATTAAAATCCAGGCTTTTTGATATCATTGACAGCTGCTTTTTCAATAAAAATGGAACTCGTAAATTTACTTACCTTGTCATTGGTCATTTGCAAAATTATTTTGTAAAAACATTCTTTTTGTACACACAAGTACTCTGAAGTTGACATTAAAAAGATGCTTGAGTTTCTGATTGACGATATCTATGTGGTTTTTGGAGACCAGGTTTTCCAACAATCTATTGGAATTTCCATGGGTACCAATTGCGCCTCGTTATTAGCAGACCCCTTTTTTGTATTCATATGAAGCGGAATTTGTCCAAAATCTTATACCTGATAAGAAGAAAACACCTGCTGTGGCCTTCAACTCGACATTTAGATATATCGACGACGTATTGTCAATTAACAATTGTTATTTCCATTCTTATGTCGATACGATATATCCCGGTGAACTTGAGATAAAAGATACTACAGAGTCTGACACATCTGTTTCATATTTGGATATTTTACTTGAAAAAGACGTTAATGGTAATTTAACAACCAAGCTTTATGATAAACGTGATGACTTTAACTTTTCAATCGTCAACTTCCCTTACTTATGCAGCAATATACCTTCATCACCTGCATACGGGGTTTATATCTCTCAGTTGATTCGATACGCAAGAGGATGCTCTACGTATGTACAATTTCTAAAACGAGGTAAATTATTGACAAACAAGTTGATGAAACAAGAATATCAGCAGTCTCGTTTAAAGTCATCGTTTCGTAAGTTCTATGGTCGATACAATGACCTTGTCAGCAAATACAATTTATCATTGAGTCAAATGCTGACTGACGTTTTTCATACAAATTGTTAGACCATTATTTACACACTGAATTGTCGACGGATTTTTCCGTTATTTCCCGATCATGATAAGGAGCACACGGCGGGTGTGACCGGTCGGCAGGGGATGCTCACTCCTCCATGGCATCTGATCCCACCTCTAATGTTTTGGAGGTCCGTGTTTACTCTGCACCTATTTTGTAATGTTTAATGGACTTTTGAGCTTGAATACTGTTCGTTATCTCCATATATGTCATTTCCCTTTAAAAGGATTTTTTTTTATTATTTTTTAATTTTTGCTCCGCAAAATAGTTCCCTTAAAACTTTAGAAATAAATCGTTTTGAGGGATGATAAATTTAAAATTGATGACTAATTATCTTCTTTATCGATAATTACAATAATTAATTACTATTTTAATTTCAAATATTCCCCGTTTCAAACTTGTACAAGAATCTCGTACAACGAGCGTTGACGGAGGTGTATGGAGCGTAGCGGAAAACAACTTTGGATAGAGAATGGCATCGTTATTACCAGTAGAAATTCTCATGATTCTTAATGTGTTTTAAATGAATTATATTATGAAGTTAACAGTACCTAACAGGCGGTAAGTACGTTACAATTATATTAAAGGTTTAGACCTGTGTAGAACGGGGTAAAATAAGCTGAAGTGCAAATTAATATAATGGTACGGGGCATATAGTTTGAAAAGTGTCAAAAATCATTGGATGCCATATGCAAGTTATACATTAAAGCAAGTCCCTGGGGTCATCCCTACTCTCCGGAACCGGAAACAATCAGATAGCTTTCATTAAATCAAAAGCCCCTAAGCCATCTTAGTTTTGAATTATGACACATTTTAAAAATAGTATATAGGGTCATGACCCCCCAAAACCATCCCCACCCCCCTGAGACTGATCATATACACATGTATATATACATGAATCTTGAAAATGGTTGAAAACTTCCCTTAAGCATACATAATATTGTTCCTTGTGTCATATTAT